TGAATGGTTGGTGTTAACCCTATAGATTTCTGGTAGAATTAACCAGTGAAGCCTGGTGCTGGACTTTTCTCTGTGGGAAATTTTTTGATTACTAATTGAATTTCTTGCTACAAGTCTATTCAGATTTTTTCTTTCTTCTTGAGTCAGTTTTAGTAGTGTGTGTCTTTCCGAGAATTTGTCCAATTTGTCTAGGTTGTCTAATTTGTTGGCATATAATTATTTGTAGTATTCTGTTATCTTTTTTATATCTGTAAGGTTGGTCACAAAGTGCTCCCTTTTGATTTCTTATTTTGATAACTTAAATTCTTCTTTTTTTTCCTTAGTCTAGCTAGAGGTATGCCAATCTGTGGATCTTTTCAAAGAATCAGCTTTTGGTTTTGTTGATTGTCACTATTGCTTTTCTCTAATTCTGCTCTGATCTTTATTATTTCCTTCTTTATGCTCACTTTGGATTTAATTGGCTCTTCTTTTTAAAATTTCTTTTCTTCTAAGATCTTATCTATTATTTGAGAAAGAGAGCACATGCCCATAGGTGTGCGCACATGAGGAGGGGTGCAGAGGGAGAGGCAGAGAGAGAATCTCAAGCAGCCCATATTGAGTGTGGAGCCCAGTGCAGAGCTTGATTCCCTGACCCTGAGATCATTACCCAAGCCAAAATTAGGAGTTGGATGCTCAACTGACTGAGCCACCCAGGTGCCCCTTCTTTTTAAAATTTCTTAACATGGAAGGTTAGGCTGTTGATTTGAGTTCTTTCTTCTTTTTCAATATAGGCTTTTACAGTTATGAATTTCCCTCTAAGTGCTGCTTCTTATAGGTTTTAGTATATTGTATTTTCCTTTTCATTTATCTCAAACTCTTTTCCTGTAATTTCTTTTTGACCCATTATTTAGGAGTAATTTTCACATATTTGTGAATTTACCAAATTTCCTTCTTTTTTTGACTTATAATTTTATTTCATTGTCATCAGAGAACATACTTTCAACTCCTTTAAATGTATTAAGACTTGATTTATTGCCTAAAATATGGATCTTTCCACATGCACTTTAGAATATGGATTCTGCTGGTGGTGGGTAGATACTTCTGTATATGCCTGTTAGGTCTAGTTGGTGTATAGTTGTTCAAGTCTTCTATTTCCCTATTGATCTTCTGCCTACTTATCTAGATCTTCTATTTTGTCTGATATTAGTATAGCCACTTCAGCTTTCTTTTGGTTACTATCTACATAGTATATTTTTTCATTTTCCTTTCTTGTTCTTTCAACCTATTTGTGTCTTTGAATCTAAAATGAGTCACTTTAGATGGCATTTTGTTGGATATGGCTTTTTAAAAATTCACTCTGCCAATCTCTGACTTTAATTGTAGTGTTTAATCCATTTAAATTTAATGTGATTACTAAAAAGTTAAGATTTAGGGGTGCCTGGGTTAAGCATCCAACTCCTGATTTCAGCTCAGGTCATGATCTCAGGATCCTGAAATTGAGCTCCACATTGGGCTCTGTGCTCAGTGGAGAGTCTACATGAGATTCTCTCTCTCTCTCTCTCTCTCTCTCCCTCCCTCCCTCCCTCCTTCTGTCCCTCCCCCCACTTTTCCCCCTCTCCCTTTCTATCTCAAATAAATAAATATATCTTTAAAAAATACTAAAAAGGTAGAATTTGATTCTGCCATTTTGTACTTTGTTTACTATATATCTTTTTTGTTCTTTTAATCCTTCACACTGCCTTCTTTTGCATTAAACATATATTTTCTAGTGTGCTATTTTAATTCCTTGTCATGTCTGTTACTGTGGGTTTCCTGGTATTATAATTAATATTTTAGCTTAAAATAATCTATTTTAGACTAATACTAACTTTAATAGCATGCCAAAATTTGTCTCCTGTATACTCCATTCCTTTCCCACTCCTTTGTGGTGTAGTTGTAGTATAAAGTATGTCTTTATATCTTACATGCTGGTCATCCACATATATTTATAATTATTGCTTGATGTACTTGGCTTTTAAATCATATGGGAGAAAAAAGTTATAAAAATGGATTTATGCTATCTTTTATGTTTACCAATGTAGTTACCCTTATTAATGCTATTTATTTCTTGTTTTTTTTTTCATTTTTTTAATTGAAGTATGGTTGACACAAAATGTTACATTAGTTTCAGGTGTACAACATAGTGATTCAACACCTCTATACATTATGCTATGCTCATAGCCACAAGTATAGCTACTGTCTGTCACCATACAGTGCTATTACAGTATCATTGACTATATTCCCTATGCTGAACCTTTCATCCCCATGACTTACCCATTGTATAACTGGAAGCCTATACCTCTGACTCCCCTTCACCCATTTTACCTCTCTCTCCCCTCTTCTCCCGCTGACAACCATCAGTTTTTTCTCTGTATTTATATGTCTGTTTCTGCTTTTTTTTAACTAAAATTTGCTTATTGCATTTGTTTTTTATATTCCACATATAAGTGAAATCATGTGGTATTTGTCTTTCTCTGCCTTATTTCACTTAGCATAATGTCCTCTAGGCTCTATCAATGATGTTGCAAATGGCAAGATCTAATTCTTTTATGGCTGAGTAATATTCCATAGGGTGTGTGCTCATGTGTGTACACATATATACATGCATACACACACACTACACTCTTATCCATTTCATACACACACCTTCTTTATCCATTTATCTATCAGAAGACACTTAGGTTGCTTCCATATCTTGGCTGTTATAAATAATGGTGTAATAAACATAGGGGTGCATATATCTTTTTGAATTAGTGTTTTTGTTTTCTTTGGGTCAGTACCCATTAGTGGAATTACTGGATCATATGGTATTTCTATTTTTAAATTTTTGAGGAAATAACATACTATTTTCCACAGCAGCTGCACCAATTTACATTCCCACCAAGAGTGCACAAGTGTTCCTTTTTCTTTCCATGTTCACCAACACTTTTTATTTCTTGTCTTTTTTATTCTAGCCATTCTGACTGTGAGATGATAGCTCATTGTGGTTTTGATTTGCATTTTCCCCAATTATTAGTGATGTTGAGCATCTTTTCATGTGTCTGTTGTCCATGTGTATGTTTTCTTTGGAAAAATGTCTATTCAGGTCCTCTGCCCATTTTTAATCAGATTATTTGGGTTTTTGGTGTTGAGTTGTAGAAGTTCTTTATATATTTTGAATATTAACCCCTTATCAGATGTATCATTTGCAAATATCTTCACTCATTCAGTAGGTTGCCTTTTTGTTGTACTGATGATTTCCTTTACTGTACAAAAGCTTATTTTGGTGTATCCAAATACTTTACTTTTGCTTTTGTTTACTTGCCCACGGAGGCAGACATATTTAGAAAACTGTCGCTAAGACTCATGTCAGAGAGATTACTGCCCATGTTTTCTAGAAGTTTTATGGTTTCAAGGAGGGACAGTATATTTGAAGAGAAGCAAGACCTGGATTCTGATTTCAGCTGAGTGTGTAATGTTTTCTTTCTTAAAATTTGGGCCTCATATTTTCCCATCCATGGAAGAGAGATGTGAATACATCTCCCCATCTATTCTGTAGGGCTCTGTGAACTAAATAGTATTAAGTATATAGAAATGCTTTGGTCCCTTTAGGAGAAAAGCACTTAACTTCAAGGTTTCATTATTGTTACTTCCAGTTCTACTTACCATTATGTGTCCGTGATCAAGCCACTGAACCAGTTGCTTCTGTTGCTCCACTCAGCACCTCACTTCTCTTTTTTTCCATCCCCCTCTCTCTTTTTAATGAAAAGACAATACTCATTTTCCTCATAGATATGACAGTAAGTTTATTCTTATTTTTTTCTTATTATTTAAATTCAATTAGTTAACATAGGAGTGCCTGGGTGGCTCAGTTGGTGAAGCATCTGCCTTCAGCTCAGGCCATGATCCCAGGGTCCCAGGATCCAGCCCTACATCAGGCTCCCTGCTCAATGGGGAGTCTGCTTCTTCCTTTCCCTCTGCTGTTCCTCCTGCTTGTGTGCACACGCATGCTCTCGCTCTCTCTCTTTCCCTCTCTCTCTCTCTTTGTGTCAAATAAATAAATGAAATCTTAAAGAAAAAATCAGTTAACATATCGTATATCATTAGTTTCAGATGTAGAGTTCAGTAATTCATCAGTTGCATAGAACATGACAGTAAATTTCAATTCCTTTATATGTGTTTAAGATTACTTGAAGATGTTCAGGAAAAACTGTTGTTATTTGCAGTTTGACTGGCAATTAGGATTATTTTGCACAAATGGGGTATATTTTAATGTAATCCTGAATGTGATTATTTGAAGTTTTTTTAATATTGTGCATAATACTAGAAATAGAGTTTTGAAACCTCCTCTAGTCCTTTTTATGCATCTTTCCCTTCCTTCCTCCCACTCTTTCTTTCTTTTTGTGTAATATCTCCCTAGCTCTATGAAATCCAAGCTTCTCTGTGAAAAGTGGTTAGAAATTCTAGCTTTTTTTTTAAATTGTAAAATATACTTAACATAAAATTTACCATTTTAGCCATGTGTCAGTGGCATTAAGTACTTTCACATAGTTGGGCGATGTGCGCCTGTTTTTGAAAAATACCAATTCCATAGTTGCTGGGTAATATTTTGTGAACCAGTATTGTTATTCAAATTAAATAGTATGGACCCAGCACCTGGGTGGCTCAACGGTTGAGCATCTGTCTTCGGCTCAGGCCGTAATCCCAGGGTCCCAGGCTCGAGTCCCACATGAGGCTCCCTGCTAGGAGCCTGCTTCTCCATCTGCCTGTGTCTCTGCCTCTCTCTCTCTCTCTCTGTGTGTCTCTCATGAATAAATGAAATCTTAAATAAATAAATAGTATGGACTGCATTGTTTTTCTGACTTATTTTGTGGAAGCCATGAGCGAGGTCGGTATTCATTTTGGTGGTCACGCTTCCTTTTCTTCACTTCATCTGAGCACAACCTAACAACCTACCCATTTATCCATAATACATTTAACTCATGTCTCCTTTGGTGTCGCAGGTTGCAAGGCAGGTAGGAATTAACTCGGGGACAGCCGCGTCAAGAGGACTGTATCACCCAGCAACAATCTTTATGGGCCGCCAAATGTCAGCCATGTTGAGCATCCGAGGTTTCCATGCAGAGCAGAAATCTCCCCAGCCCACAAAGAGTGTTTCAATTCCTGACCCACATTCACGCCGACAGCCAGCCCGGAGTGGTGACATGACAGACAGCTGTGTAGGACAAACTCACAGTGACACACAGCGCTTAAAGAAGTCTGACAAAATAGATGGCAAGACATCTCTTCAGATTGGTGAGAAAATGCCAGTCACAGGCAGCGCATTGTCTGAGGAGGAACAAACTCACTGCTCACAGATAGGAAGCAACACACATCACGGCGAGAGTAGTTTATCTGAAGGCAAAAAGTCTGCCCAACTCCATTCCCTGTTGCTGGCAAGATTAAGTCCAGAGAACAGAACTACTGATGTAAAGTGTGACAGTTCCAACAGATCAGAGGGATCAGAGGGAGAAATACTGACACAGGAACATATTGAAGTCAAGGAAGAAAGAGCCAGACTGCCAGGTGCTCCCATATCAGCCTTGGAATGCTGCGCATCTGAAAATGAGTGTTCTCAAGAGAAGGGTTCGGCTTGGGAAGGTTGCTCAGGTGGGGTGAGAGGCTGAGATTGTTTGCTGATTTTTATTGGGGTTTAGTTTTGGGGGTCGTAGCAGTCTCCTGTCAGAACGACATACACTCTTTAATTTTATCTCTGTTAGAAAAACAAGCCAGTGATGTTGGCCAGTAAATTCCATTCTAATGAATTCTTGAATATAGGCATGGAAATATTTTACAAGCTAATATGCCGATTTTAAAACCCACTGTGATATTTTAAAATATACTTGTAGTGATTTTTCACATACTATAACTAGTTGTTTCTACACATCTTTCTTTAGCTGACTAATTCTGCCCTCGAAACTAGTTGTTTCTACACATCTTTCTTTAGCTGACTAATTCTGCCCTCGAAGCAGAACATGTTCACCTCTCCCTGAAATTAGTGATTGGTAATCTATTCATATCCGCTTTTACAGATCATCTTCCTCCCAGGGACCCAGAGTCACAGAAACCCTTCAGAAAAATGCAGGAAGAGCAGGAAGAAGAAAGTTTGAGCAGCAGCAGCAGCAGCAGTGACCTCACAGTCTCTGTAAGTGAAGATGATCTCATTTTCAAGAGTCCAGAACCACAGCCAAATCCAAGTGACAAGATCGAGGGAGAAGATGGAATAGAGGCCTTAAAATTAATCCACTCTGAGCAAGAAAGAGATGCCCCGTCCACTGAAAAACATAATTGTATTTTGCAAACCCTAAGCTCTCCTGATTCAAAAAAAGAATCCTCCACTAACTCACCAACAAGAGAGTAAGCCATTCAATTTTTTTTATTCTGTTTTTAATTATAGACATTTTTAGAGACCATTCCACTGGGAATGTATTATTGAACCCTTAGCCATAGATGAGTAAGTTCCTTAAGTGTCATGAACAGTCTTTTAGACAAGGTCTAATTTTCTTTCTTTTGTTTTGTTTAATGAAATAGCTTTTAAAGTCTGAATCATGGTGATTGGCAGTTTACAATTATATCCAATCGATCCTTGGTTAATTTGTGAGTTATTTCCCCCCACACCCTGCCCTCCAGCCTTGTAGAAAATAAATCATTTTGAAGTTGTGGTAACAAAGAAGGTGACAAATAGTTAAACTTAACTAGGAGTTCAGCTTTAGAGGCTAAGAACTTTGTATCTAATTAATTTGCTTAATCCTTCTATTCCTTGTCATGGTATTTTATGGTTAAATAAGAGTTTGAGTTCTGCCAAGTGTATTTCTAAGTCAGCTTTCGTTTTCTGAATATAAATATGAGGACCCTGGAATCTTTAATGTTAAATAGGAACAACATCGGTATTATATATTCTGAGCACTTAAAATATCCATCTCATAGGGGCACCTGGGTGGCTCATTTGGTTGAGCATCTGATCCATGATTTTGGCTCAGGCTATGATCTCATGGGTCATGAGATTGAGTCCCCTGTCAGACTCTGTGCTGAGCAGGGAGTCGGCTTGAAAATTCTCTCCCTTTGCCCCTCACCCCACTCATGCACACACACTCTCTCTAAAGTAAATAAATAAATCTTTAAAAATAATATCCAGGGATCCCCGGGTGGCACAGCGGTTTGGCGCCTGCCTTTGGCCCAGGGCGCGATCCTGGAGACCCGGGATCAAATCCCACATCGGGCTCCCGGTGCATGGAGCCTGCTTCTCCCTCTGCCTGTGTCTCTGCCTCTCTCTCTCTCTCTCTCTCTCTCTCTCTCTCTGTGACTATCATAAATAAATAAAAATTTAAAAAAATTTTAAAAAATAATATCCAACTCATAAAAGCTCATAGATGGTTTTCTATTACTGACTTGTGTAGAGAACATGGAGACTGTTAGAAAACCAATTGTGCAGTGAAAATAGCATCACATCTCTTGTAGGGGTAGAAGGAACCTAAGTTAACAACCCAATGTAGATCTCATCTCTTAAAAATGAGGAAACCAAGGCCAGGACATAGAGGTGACATTTGAGCCATTGGGGCAGACCTTCTATACAGCTTGCCTCCCAAGCCTCCACACTACCCCCAGAACTTTCTTTCATACCGTGATGGTGTCACTCTTTTCAACCATCTCAGCAACAGGAAAAGCTAAGTGGGCATTCTTGCGTATTAGGGTATATATTCTCTTTTAGAACACTTGTCCCTTTCAATATATTGCTTTTTAACATTCATAATCTACTTACATGAAAAGTTTATAGTCCGAATAACTCCAATTTGACATTCAAGAAGTATTAATTAAGTGCACTCCCAAGGACACAGTACTTGCACTATAGATGGAAGAACTGACAAATTTCCTGTCCTGATTTATTGTGGAAGCAAGCCAAATAGATTTTTCTTGTCATAACACTTTTCTGCCATCAAAGAGGTATAGGTATTACATACTACATCATCAGAAACTTTATTACTGAAGATAACAATCTATTTTGGATTTTGTATTCACAGGCTTCTTTCTATAGTGGTTCATTGGCCAAATTAGTACTTTGGTAGGCTAATCAAGGGGCTAGTGTATTTACTCAGGATTTAGTCTTTTTCTGAGATGAAAAACAGTGATTAGGTGTGTGGAATTAAGAACATATTATCTCCTTTTCTTCTAGATGAATGACTTTTTCCTATGACCTTAAAGCCAAGCTCCTTAGAATTTGGGTATATGGTTTTCCAAAATTTATTGGAAAATATGGGAATTTGGGGAATTTTTAAATAGTTGCCTTAAAGGAATGCCCCCAGAATGAAAGGTCGGTCAGTACTGTTTGATGTCTGTACTATCAAATTTGAGCCTATTGATTTTTTGTGGTGAAAGTATTCACCATGAATAGGTTGAAAGTGGTTTTAAATGATGCTGGTTAACCTGCTGACATTCTCGCTGCTTTTGAGACCCTACTTTCTCTTATTTGTTCTTTAGCATGAGCTATTCTTCTTTGCACTATGGGTTATTAATCTGGGGCTATATCATTGTATTTACACAGCCAACATTGTGACCTCCAAGGTTCATTATCTCAGTTTACTTCAGGGTCTTTTGGGGGCTTGGAGAAAAGTCATTTGAATGAATTTTGGCTAAGAAGGATGAGGAAGTGGGACACAGACAGACACATAGAAAGATATGAACAGAAAACTGGAACCTCTGATAATGATGATGATAGTTATGTTTTAGCACATCTCTGCCAGCTGAATTGCTGTATTTGAACAGAAAACATGGTCTTAAGCTTCCCAGCAATAAAGGTGAAAAGAAGAGTGCAGTATGCTAAATAGCTCCCATCTGAGGAGAAAACTGAAGCCAAGGACTATTTTTGTGTTGTTTGGTTTTTGTTTGTTTTGTTTAGGAAAAAAGTGAAGGGTTTCTTTGAAATATAATTCACATAACATACAATCCACCCATTTTAAGTGTACAGTATAAGGGTTTGGGATACATTACATTACTGATTTATAAAAATTGTACTTATGATATAAAAAACATTTAAAAATTACCATTTTAAGCGTATAATTTAGTGACATTCACTGTAGTGTACAGCCATTGCCACTATTTACAAAAGTCGTTCCTCACCCCAAATATAAACTCCATTAAGCAGTAACTCTCCATTCTTTCCTCCTCCCAGTCTCTGGTAACCTCTAATCTACTTTCTATCTATGAATTTGTCTATTCTGTTGGTAACTAGACAATGTTTGATCTCTTGTGTCTGGCTTATTTCTGATCTTAGCATAAGATCTTTAAGGTTTAAAAAAAAGATCTTTAAGTTTTAAATAGGTTGTAAATATCAGAACTTCATTCTATTTTATGGTTAAATAATATTCCAGTGTATGAATATACAAAATGTGGTATATTGTGGATATGCCACATTTAATGTTCATTAACATTCATCTGTTAATGAACACTTGGATTGTTTCTACCTAAAAGCCAAGTGTTTTTGAAAAGCTTCATGACTCAATCCTATGGATACTTCCAGATACTGAAAATCAGCCTGTGCTTCATGCACAACTCCTTTATCACAAGTTATAATTAACCCTTCTCACAAGAAAGCATACTAAAATGAAGCTGAAGGAGAAAACTATCAAAAAGGAGGACACAGAATCTTATTTTTTAGGAGTAAATCATTTGCTGCAAAAGTTGGTACAAAGCTCCATGACTTAAGACATCAGACATTTATTACTTTTCATGTGTTGGGTATGGCCCAGTGTCAGTTGGTGCCACAGGGATAATTTGGCCATATGTCCCTCTTCATCCAGGAGAATAGTTCAACCTGTCACCTGATGCTGGTAGCCGAGTTCCCAGGACAGCAAAGGGCAAGCCCCAGGGCCCAGATGCTTTATAGTATCTGCCTGAGTCACATTTGCTAGTGTCCTGTGGCTAAAGAAAATCACAGACCCCACCCTAGAGTCAAGAGGTGGAAAAGTCAAGTGGTCCATCTCTTGATAGGATATGTGGTAGAGTCACATTACAAAAGGGGGGCGGGGGACACAGGGAAAGGAAGTTCATGGTCATCTTTTGCAAACCACCACAGTACTTTAGGACAAATTCAAATGAAGATAAGCTCAGTGTGAGTCCAAAGGGCAGGAAAGGCTTTGTACAGGTGCTAATGCAGCATCTCGAAAGCTGTCAAGGCTTTGAGTAAGAAGGAGGTGGGCAGAGGTGAGTTAGGTTTGGAGGAAGAGTGCTGGAAGGCTTGCAGATGTAGAGAACATGGAGGGCAAGAGAGGGTAGAACAAAGGGTGTGACTAAGGCTCACTGAACAGGACTCCTTGAAGTGAAGGAAGGTTTAAAATGGTGCCTGAGACATGGCCGAGGGCAGGCCTAGACTCTCCGGTTAATGAATCGAGAGTTCATTTTCTATCTTTTGCACACCTGCTGAAGGGTAGTATGGTGAGTAATTTCTTTAGGAGAATTAATATGACATGATTAGTTTCATCAGGATTAATTATCCATGAGGTAGGCAAAATTCTGAGGTGGCTCCCAAGTCCTGCCTCCCGGCATACACTCTGTATAATCCCTTTACCTTGAGTGTGGCCTGGACTGTACATCTGATGGATTTTCCTCCCACCATTAATCTATGTTATATAACAGACATGAAAGATTTTGCAAATATGGTAAAGGCTCAAATCAGTTGCTTTTGAACTATTCAAAAAAGAATTATCCAGAGTGGGCCTAACCTAAACAGATCAGCCTTTAAAAAGGGTCCTTATGAAGTTAGAAATACAAAGCAGCTGATATATGCCCCTATTTGCCTTGAAAAAGCAAACTGCCGTGTTGGGGAGAAGGCCACATGGCAGGAAATGGTTGGCAGAAAATTCAGTTGCCAACAACCAGTGAGCTTGGAGAAGACCCAGATTTAGGCAAGATTGCAGACCTGGCCTGCACCTTGATTTCTGCATGGTGAGACTGGGCATAAGACTCCACTTACCTGGGTGGCTCAGCAGGGAATCTGCCTTCACCCCTCCGCTGCCCTTCCCCGCTGCTTGCACACCCGCATTCTCTCTCTCTCAAATAAATAAATCTTAAAAAAAAAAAAAAAAAAAAAAGACTCCAGTAACCTAGACCCAGACTTCTGACCCATGAGAACTGTGAGGTAAATTTGTGGTCTGTGCAGAATATGTGGTAATTTGTTATGCAGTCATAGATAATTAATACTATCCAATTGAAGAATTAGCATCAAAGATTGTATCTTTGCAAGGATTGTATGAGTAGAAATCGCTACCTGTAGTGACTCAAGGCAGGCTGAATCAGATATGTTCAGGGTCCACTGTGGTGCTGGGGTGGCAAAGTGGGTGGCCCAGCAGCCATCTGGACTGGGC